TCATGCAGTAGGAAATTTGAGATGGCTTTATTTGCTTCAATCCAGTACTGGTAACTTCAGATTACTTCATATTCTTCATCTTAAACCATCACTTACTATAGTGACTGCGTCATTGATATGCTTTTCGTGCAGTCCATTATGGTATAGGAATTTCTGTATTTTTTCCATTATCAGTGCTAGATCTGGGCCCCCTAACTTTAATCGCATATTATCGGCCAGCTGCACTTTTCTCACGCTATTCCTCGGTTCCATCATCATCATCCGCCTTCCCTTCTGCATTAGTTCATGAAAGGCACAATCGTCAGAAGTACAATTTGTTCCACTTGTGCTAAGGTAAATATGTCTAATAACTTCCGTGTTAGTAAAGGCTTAATATTTTTCTTGTCCACTCCCTGACTTCATAATTACTTCAACTTCAGTCAAGGCTTAATTTTCATTCCGTCGGGCGCGCTAATGAACTTTGGTGCTGCGAGGCTCGACGTGCTACACGCACAGCCTGTGCGTGCAGTCGTGTGGGCCCAACGTAGAAATCTCGAATACCTTGACCCTGTACTCACATGCTACCCCCATAGCACTGCTGACGAAAACATATTGCTATCAATTTATTCCACATGAGTGAACAACATTCAAGTTATCGTTCGGGATAGTTTCCATTCAAAGATCTGTTCCAGCTTTCCAAGTTTCCAATTTAAGTGCGATCGTGCGTCGAGAAGCTTTTCGCTGTAGCAAGAGTCGTGAAATGCGTGCGCGAGTTTCTGCTCGAACATATCTCCCGCTGTAGGGCAGCGAACATTTATTGGATGGTGCATTATTGGATGAACACTGAGCCCGGAGAGCTGGCCCTTTTAATGGAAAGAAACGGCCTAGTTCTTCATTAAGCTTACACCCACCGGGCTCGGTAGGACCAATTTCTCTCTTGTCTTCATCAAATCCATGCGACAGAAATTGTTCCGTTGCCAGCAAAGCTTCAACAAATCTCACTCAAGTTCTGAAAATGACCTTAGTTTTCATCACTTTAAATTATCTCAGAGTCTTTGGAATTGTTTTCTGGGAGTTAACTTTAACCACCCAAATTTGTTATTGCAAGGCAATGTCGCAATAGTTCGGCTCCTTCCAGGTTGGTGCATGGAAGTATGTGTCTCGGAAGTACCGTATGATTCTTTTTATATAGGATCGAGTTACGAATTATATTGTACGAACGTTGATAAACTAATTCATGACCTTGTATACTAGCATAGTACGAAAATATTTATGATAGAACTATTTTTTTATACAAGTTTTAGGTTCACGTTTACCCACGCTTTAAATAGATAGACCTTAGCGTCATCAGAGCCTGCCGAACTCATATCTCTGGAATTTGAGTCTCCCGCAATATTGTAGGGAGATTGTTGAGGTGCTTGTCTTATGTTCATTACTGATCATAAGTCGGCTGGTATCTATGACGTAAAAGACATACTATGAGTAGAGGCAGCGTATAAGGAGCTTTGCCTTTGTGCGAGTTTTAACGAGTCCAACCTAGCTGTATATGCAGGGTGATTAGCGCTCTCTTAAAATAAGGCAAGACACTAATTTTGAAAATCTTCTAAGTCATGAATTGTTTATTCTGCTTTTCAATAACTATTTTGATATTGTGGAGAGTATCATCATCAAAGACATCTCTGTTTTTCTTTAAATTGGTGTATATACACTTAATTATTATTATTTTGCGCAAAACTCCATGGATTCGGCCACAATTATTACTTTACACGAAAAGAAGTTAAGGTTGAAGTAATCGAATTTGAATTATAAAACATTTTGTGAAATTCTTAACTAGAGTAAGAAGTCGCATCAAAGCTTTAGACCTGTATGCGATGCATGTTATTTCAAAAAGAACAAATTTAAACGGTTACTTCGCAACAGTGAACTGCGGACATACCGCATGAACGCGATTATAGGATCTTTATTCCCCGTGTTACGCAACTTCAGAACGCGTTGCTCTAAACGGGCTAACTTTTAACAAGTTTTCAAACGTATCCTACGTGAAACTATGTGCACGTAACTCTCTGCTTGCTTCAAATCCATGCCCTGATTTACTTCCGTTTCATCGAGATTTTTCTGCAATGGATTCTTATTTTATTTCGCATTGTCTCGGTCAGTTTGCAATCACGAGGCCATGTTATGTTCAAGTACCTGAGTTGAGCGTAATTTCTGCATTGGTACTTCAAATGCAAGTTTGTGTATTTTGATACTTCAAAATACATATTTACGATTACTGGAATCAGTGTGAAAAACTTGTTATTGATTGTGTGACAAAATGTAGTTTTTATTTAATTTAAATTAAGATGTGATTAGAATTTAATCTTTAGTACTAGCTCCCTCCTCCCACCCTGCAAGTTGCCGCGGTGAGCAGGTGGCCGGAGTGACGCTCGAAGCTAAGCTCGAGATTTGCTGGCCTGAGGCTCCGCGCAGCTGCAGCTTTAGTACAGCCACGTCATTTCGGCATAAGAAAGCTTCAGAATGATGAACATTTTTCAATTTTATACGATGTTTTTTTTTCAGGTGGAACGCAACCGTTCGAAATAATCAAGATTTTTCATTTGTTTATTGTAGCCCTCTCAGTTGAACGCAGCTGTTTCAGGGAAATTCTCTCCGTTGTTGATCTGCATTTGAAAATAGTGCCTCTTTAGGGGACGCAAATGTGGCATAGGTACTGATTGTTATGGAATAATAATTTTTTGGACGAAGCAAATGTGCTATTGAATAAGCAATTAAAAAATCATTTATGGTAATTTGATGATAATGGGTTGGTGATATACAACCGTGAATGAAGAATTAAGTATCCTGTAAAGTGTAATGCTTCTAACGCATCTTCTTGGAGGGATACGGATTCATATTTATTGGTGGTATCAACCTGCTGTGAAAGTAATTCCTTATTCATCTTCTTCTTCATTTTACAGTGGATAATTTAACAAAAATCCCATTACCGATGGCTACATGCACACGACAGCATTTGATAACTTCTTGATAAGTTTATGATAAGTAAAAGTTCTTGATAAGTTCTTGATAAGTTAGTAAAAAGTTTCAGTTATAATAAATGTCTAGTGATGAGCATCACCTAGCCCACCATATGCAAGATATGCATTACTATTTGGACAAAATTTATCGAATTTCTGAGTGTGTATTAAGTAATTCGTGGTGCGATTTAATGGCCACCATTTAATCTACTTCTCATGCTCCAAATCACTCATTCGTGTACTATTGAGTTATCCGCCTCTATGCACTTACTTGTGCGTACGTTCGTGTCGCGTTGATCGGTTTCGCTTAATAAATGTGAACTTGACTTTATTGTCCTACTTGATTTGATGTTAGTATTGTTCTAACAGATAAGTGTCGCAACGCACTCAATATCAACAGACCTAGCTGCAGGCATTTGACGTTGAAATAACACAGAATAAACATTGTCTCAACGAAATCAACGTTGCTACGCCGTTATTTGCCTCTAGTTCATCAATTGCTTCATGCGGAGGTCATCTGTAGTGGTCCAGCGCAGTTGTCGCTGGGCCACAAATAAGGCCCGCCATGCCGGGCCGCCCCAATATCGGCCTCACGAGCGCTCGTTTGCGTCCTGAAATTATACTGATGGCATTTCGCGGGATATTGAGGTCTGTACTGGCCGCCCTGCTGCACTCAGCTGAACATATGGGTCAAATTGTGGAATATTTTCTTGCCCATAGCATGAGTAGGGAACAGACGTCGGCCGTTTTGCCGGTCCAAACTGGGTTGCAATGACCCACACGCAAGTAAGAAGTGCATCACTATTCTGACAAAGTCTCATCCCATTCTCTGAGTGTGTTGGTATGGCTCTTTCCTCCAGTGCTGCGCGGCCCTGCGGAGACTGAAGGCTGCGAGGCTGTGTTCTAATTCCGATGCACTTTATATCCTTGAGTGAGTCATCCTGACCCAGTTTGGCCTGGTGAAAAGGCGTATCAGTGCTACGTCCGCTTCCTACATGTGTTGTGGGTAATAAAGTGTGTCGCCATTTGGATATTATGACCCGTTCTTTCTTCTGAGTATACATGCAGAGGGCGGCGCGTCTTTCCATGTCGCATTTTACACGTAGTTTAGTCGTATACATTATTTTGTAAGCCGTGGCTTCCTTGGAGTTATTGAGACCGGCCTTGTCTTTATGAGGAATGAGCGAGGCATTGTCCTAATGGTGTTGCACTTGTTGCCCTCGTGTGGGTCATTCTGACTCAGTTTGGCCCGGCAAAAAGCCTATCACTGCTACGTTCACTTCCTGCTCGTGATCTGGTTAGAAAGTGTGTTATTATTTGGATAGTATGATCCATTCATTTTATTGAGTGTTCACGGCTGCAGATCGCCGGCCGTATAGCCTGCAGGCAGTGGCCGTACTGTTCTGTGTGATGCCTGGGTCGTCGGGATGCGAGGGAGCGTTGTTAAGAAAACTATGGCTTTGGTTTCGCATCCAATTGAAGGCAAGCTGCTGACCTCTGAACGTCTGCTGGGCGTTTCTTCAATGTTTGTATTCCCTATAAAGTCTTGCATGTCTGACAGCGTAGGGCGACGTCTGCGGTGTTTCATATTTTGAATGGTGTTTACTCTTAAAGTGTTACATAGAATTCGAATTTTTCTTCTGACTTTTTAACTCTACTGGGTACCCATTTTTTGCTCAAATTTTACTTCTAGGTTAAACTTAGTCACCAACGAAAGTCAAATTTTCTCCGTAAACAAATTTGTCTGTTCAAAGAAAGATCCGCATCTTAGGATCTGGATATATTTTCTCACCGAAAAATTGACTGTGCCCGACGAATTGTACGAAAATAATGTTTTTTTTTGCATTAAAATCGATCTCAACCTTCATTATTATTTTTTGCTAAACTATTTTGTGTCTAAAGTAACGAATCATTATTTGTGGTAAAAAGGTCATGTCTAGGTTTTGTGTATAATATAATGAATTATTATTTGTGTTGACAACTTCTTCCCCTGTTTCCACCTGCCAGGGCTGGTGCTGAGCGCCCACATCCGTCACTTCGAGCCCGTGTTCTTCGAGCGCTCGTTGCTGCAGCAGCAACACGCACGGGTCAAGCGGGACGTCGACCACGAACTGCAACTGCGCTTCCACGCACACAATAGGTACGTGTTGCGTGTACGGCTATCATGGTAGATAATAAATAAACTTTCTTGCACGTTTTTCATCCAAAATTAATTCGGAAGCTGAGACTTCATGGCCTGATACTTAATTGGCAAAGAAAAACTTTTACACACCTGATGTCATATCGCAGAGTGTCAACGAGAACATCTTATTGATGTGTGAAAAGTTCGTTATTGATTAACGCGTTTGGTTGCAAAGAAGTTAGTGAGGTAATCTGATAAAGGATAACCTCTTGATTAACATCATTAAGGTCATATTTCCGTGCTTTGAGATGCCGCCACCTGTTGTATGCACGCGCCTAAATTTAGCGCACACGTTCGAGACCAAAACAATTTGGCCAATGAAGCAGCAAGCTCATGGTCGAGACGAGGCTTTCGCTGAGCCTGATCAAACGAGCCCAGGATCAATGACAGATCAAAGGCTCGATCTTGGAGCGATGCATCAAAGCTCTCGCCAACCGAGCCCGGAAACCTAGACTCGTCAAATCGATGCGTCCGCCAAGTATTCGTTTGCTCGCCCGCTTCAAAACTTTTCATCGCCCAAAGTTTGGCTTTTAAAGAACATTTGAGTGGCAGTTTTGTGTCCAAGGAGTGGGTGTTATTGCTGGGCAGCCATGCCAGCCCGTTGCCTCCACACGAAATATCAAGTTTCTTCTGCTTAACTTCAATTCTGTGCCGCGACGCGGCATAAGTTTAGCCATTTTGCATGTGTTGAGTTCCCTCGTTATTGTTGTTGATAGAGGCGAGAGAATGCCTTTTTACACCCATGTATTCTAGAAGCTTCCTTCCTTTAATAATTTTGGTTGTAATTATATCGTATTTTATTTCCGTTTCTTTCTTGTCAAATAATTCCCAGTATAGAGCAAAATTTTCTTCAGTGTTATGATGATAAAATCTTTACACCGCTGTTGTATTGTTCCGGCTACCAATGTTATGCTGTCTTGATTATTAAGGTTGTTATTTTAATGAAAAGAATTTCCAACATTCTACAGAGACTCCACAATAAAAAGCGTATAAGTTTCATATGGTTTCTATTTGTTTCTTGCAAACGGTTCTTTTAACTCACTTATTCGTTGGCACGAGTAAGAATCTCTCGATAATATCTGCCCACGCAGAAATTACTTAGGTTTCCTGAACGTGATTCATTTGGAATAAAAATTTTTCTAAATATAAGGATTTCATTAGAGGCAATAAAACTATTGAAATCTGCTCCCAGACGGCGATCTGAATAGGGTATCCTTAAGGACTATCAATTTCCTATCCTAGACCCGTATTATCCAGTAACCCAGCACGCTGAGTTGTTCTTCAGGACGCGTGAACTAATTTTCATTTAAGCTACAGCCGCGAATGTGCTAGATCTTTTTGCCACCTCGCCTATAAGCCGGACGCCTTAAGCGAGTCCCAGCTCTTAATGGTCTTTTATTCTTGTAAAATATACTTACTTCATGTGCGTATTGCACGTCATCTGCTCGCTGTTAATTTTAAAAGCTTTGTGTTTTCCCGCTTTTGGCCTGTATTTATTTGCCATGGATAAATGATTCTAAACTCGAATTATTGGAGAAAAACCTCCAAAAGAAGATGGTGTCAATATATTTTTTTACGAGCCTATAGTATACTAAAGTTCGTAGAAAAGTTCATAGCCGCGCCTTTCATCTGAAACATATTTTTTTTTATATTTGGATCTTCACACAGCCTACAACACAGTATCCGCCTAAAAGATGCATTAAAAAATATTTTGTTGCAGCTCTCATTACTTCGCGTAAGCCGCCAAGATTATCTCAATGGACCAACAAACGTCGAATGACGTTCAGTACGTTTTACTACTCTACAAATTGTCATGGTTAACGCCATTGCTAAAAGTATCCAGGGCTTGATATCTTCGATAGCGTGTTTCTATTTGAGAACACGTATGACGCCTCCACTTTCTGGGTCGGGGAAATGCTCGCAGTTTCATCGTACTGCGATGTATGCCCATGTGTGTGCGGTGGAGAAACGCTCGGAGATTTCCCGCGCAGTGGAGCTTTAGTGGGGAATGTGGCCGGGTCGCGAAAGTTGAACTTTCTGCTTGGTGGCTGCGAGAGAAGCCATCGGGAGGTAGAGTTCCGGCGATGCCACAGGCACTGCAGTAAATTCAGTAACAGCGTCTCACAGACTGTATTGCAACCACTGCAGTATTAATATTTCTTCATTGTTTTATGCTCTTCTTCAGTGATATATGTTTCAATTCAGATGGTATTACGGGTAAAAATATCCAATGTATGCTTTGTATTTTTAAGGCCTTGTTAACTAACAGAGTTAACTATGAACAAATAATTATGCTTTCTTGGCTGAAAACGCGTCTTTTTTTCACGAGAACTGAAGTTAACGGCAATTTCAATGAGAAAGTTTGCTGCAATGGTCAAGGTTTAGTTTCAGTATACTAAACATGAATAGAATATTTTCAAGTGTGACACGAAAGTTGTCACACAACGAATCATCCCTGTTGCAAATGTGCTACTGCTTCGTGAAACTTTAACGCGAGCATGTCGTATCAAGAACTAAAATATGTCACTTATATTTCAATGATTCTATAATAAACATTCATTGCAAATTTTGCTAATTGTATAATAGTTATAAAATAAAAACTATTTTTATAACAAGCATTATAATAAAGTGGTGACTTGGAGCCTGGCGACACAAGCCAACCGTCGTCCGTTGGTGAGATTTTGTCTTTGTGCTGCTGGTGCCGTCGCGTCTGGCGCGGTGCCAGCGTCGCCTGGACCCTGCGCGCCCTTACAGGACCTCCACGCCTGATTGTGATCTGTGGCTGCTGCGACACATCTTATCACTCAACTCTAACTCATGAGTATTGCAGTTGCGGCCGACGTTATAGCTTTGATCAACGCTGTTCTTGTAATCTACTCAAATAGTGGAGCTGTTGTTAAATCAGTCATTACACTCACTCATAAATCGTGTAACTGTAGCTCAATTGTTCAATGCTACCGATCATTTAATCGTATACTTTAGTACAATTGGTATGAATTGTCACGCACGAATCTTTTCCGAAATATAGCCTTAATATGTCCCTACTAAATAATACAAAGTAATAACACTTTGTCTATGAGTAATACTCATGTTTGATCCACATCGTGTAATGGATATGCATCTTAATGTATTTTTTAAACACTTATGAAAAGTAGTGTTTAATCTTCGCGTTCTTTTAGAAATCGAAGCTTCGATACCAAAAGACATTCGCGCAAAGAGAGAAATAAAGGGAGCAAGGGGTTGGGAGGTCGACCCTCGGCGACGTGAGCATTTTGAAAAATGGCCCGTCGCCGGGAAGGAAAGCTCGGAACTGGGGTGCGAAGTTGGGCGAGTTGATGGAGCCGAAGACGCCTTATCAGCCATTGCAAGGCCCTTCAATATAGTTGTACCGCACTCCTTATTCTACATTTAGTTATAACTAACATACTTGTGTGAAGAAATTAATATATTTTACCCCGTGTCAAATTTTGCTCCATAACTTAGTTTCTTGCGTTTCGTCTACCTTTGAAGGACGAAACAACATTTTACCAATTTGCCAATTAATTTTCTCAGAAATTGTCTCAAGTATTCGTAATTAAACAATAATGTTAACCATAAGAATTAAGTTAGCTTCCTCATTGCGGGTTATCTTCTCTGGAAGTACTGGATGCGTGCATACAATGAGAGAGCGAGCAGCTTTGTTCTGTATGGCACTGATCAGCAGATGTGCTGTTGTGGCCACTGTAAGAGCAGGCCTGCCTTCTAGCCTCTGTAAATGGCTGTATTGTATCAGGAGCTGCTGTATATATACGCAGCCTAGAAGCAGACTTAGCGGTTCTAATACATACGCAGCCGAGCAGCAGATGTAGCAGCTCTAATTGCCTCCACTTGTCACGGCCTGTAGGCCTGCCGCCTTCTATATAGTCTTAGTGGCCAACCGCATCGAAGGTTCGCTATCGTGTAAGCCATCTACTTCGGGCAAATGTTGGGTAATAAGGTTAAGTTGTCTTCTGTTTCGTGCTGACTTTTCATTACATGAAGGGATATCTAATATTGTTCGTAATAAAATTGAGAACAGCCGCATTCTTTGATATTGCACTCATGCTGTTTTTATGTCAATGTTACGGATATGCTACAGGCCTTAGTGCTCGTTTAATCTATTATTTCCGTAAGAAGAATCATCGTTGCAGTTAGGTTGACCCCAGTATTATCATCAAATAACGATACAAATTGGTATTGAGGCTCCTAGACTTGTTCCTTTTCAACAGAAAGTGCCGATGATAGTTAAATGCTGGTTCTCAAAACCGTAGACTTTAGCACTGATGAATACACTGATGAGATTAAATTTTGGAATTGAGATTTGGATTTGTCATTTGTGGTATCCAGCTGAACATTTGCAGAAATGAATGGAATGCCTTTCGTTTCCCTGTTTTCGATATTTGAAATGAACATTTGTTCTAAAATTATATCCAAGTATAATGGACAACACTTCTATAATGATGACATCGATTTCATCTAAGCCACTAATCCGAAATGTTAAGAAAATTACGTTCTCAGCACACAGCTGATCTTGGTTTGTCTACCTTAATGGAAGTTTACTGTGAAGCACGTAAGATAACACGCCTATTTGCCTTGTCTTCGAAGCTTCAAGTGTTGCGTTGTTTATTTTAAATTTATAGTGTAACAATACTCAAACGTATTTAAAATGCGTGAAATTTTATATTGATGGTTCTCTATGCATGGATAATCTTATCGAAATTATAAATTAATCTAACTTTTCTTGTAGTTTTATAGCTCAGTATTTTTCTGAAGCTCACGAGCAAACTGAACCTCAAAACAAGCTTTTTCCTGTACGGGGTAAGCTCGCTTCCTTTTAGCCGCAGTCATTACAAATTGCGTGGAAGTTTCGTGTGTTGGCTCAAGTGCTAGCTGAGCAGTGACGAGTGCTATACGTTTAGCCGACTCAAAAGTCTCGAGCA